GTATTTGGTTGAAAATCTAAAAATAGTATTGGTTATACATTTATTATTTTCGATATAACTTAATTTGGCTATTATCTAGTTTGATCACCTTTCTCTTATTAAGTACTAAGCTTTCGTACTTGCAGATCTTTTCAAATCATGAGATCAAATCAAAGCTCCGAAATGCTACTATTATGCTGTTGCGTAGTCGCACACAAAATTCACTATTCTATTATTTATTGTCAATAATACAGTAATTTATTTTTAACAATTATCCTTGCCCTAACAATATTTTAAAATATCCCAAGTAGCACCGAACGGTTATATTCAGTACTTCAAGGATGCTTTAAAACTGTAGAATAAAACTTCAATTAAAACTAGTTAGTTTTAAAAGAAGCTATAAGGTTGTAATAAATAAGCTTTCAGCATAAAAAGGCCCACTCTGAAAGAGGTTAATAAAACTAAAACTATATTGAAAAACTGATTTTAAAGATGCTGTGACGACCGTTTTAAAACCAGTTTAAATACATTTTAAACACACGCGGTTTTGAGGTGGACTTAAAAATGTTAGTTACATGTATACTTTTAAATATAATTTATTGTTAACACATAAAAATAGTTTTTTAAAACCATAAACATCATTCTTTTAGCATATAAAAGCAATTTATATTTGAAGATTTTTGTGTGAATAATTTAATCATTTTCATATTTTGTCACACTTGTCAAACAAAATAATATATTTTAAAATAGGGTCTTTTATTGGTAGATAAAACAAGTGAAATAAAGTGTTTTAAATATTTCCAAAACCACTTAAGATGTTTTAATCAAACTAATCGTTGAAAAATATGGGAGGAAAAACGTGTTACGCCACTGTTCTGTTTTTAATGTTAGATTTGAAAGAAAAAGCAACAGAGACAATAAATTTTTTCATTCTTTTTTATTATTTTTAATCTCTTTGAACAATGTACAACAAAAAAGTTATCTTTAATTTTTCCCTGGTATGTATTTGTATGTCAGACATTAAAATGAATAACTTTACTAACGTTAAAATGGCTCAAATGCACTTCATTTAGCTTAGCGAATTGGAATTCAGCGGAAGCTAGAAGAATTTATCAGCAACGTTATCCGAATAGGGTAACGCCATGTGCTAAAACATTTAGAAAGATTCATGCCAGATTGAGTGAAACTGGTAGTTTTAAGCATAATCGGGTAGCTCCTGGTAGACCACGAACAGTAACAACGCCTGAGCTAGAAGAAGCTATACTACAGGAGAGATAAGAAAATCGTTCAACTAGTATCAGGAAGATTGCACAACAGCTTCAAGTAAGTGCAAATACTGTTTGGAGAGTTTTGAAAGTTTCTCTGCTTTAACCATACCATATGCAACGAGTACAAGCTCTGCTGCCCCGCGACTTTCAGCCAAGGCTAAATTTTAGTAGGTGGTTACTCCATAAAGTTGCTCATATCTATAATTTTTTGACCCTAATTTTATTTACTGATGAGGCAACTTTTTCACGTGAAGGAATTATTAATTTTCACATTTATGGGCTGAGGAGAATCCTCATGCAATAAGAGAAGGCCCCTTTCAGCAAACATTTTCACTAAATGTATGGATAGGGATTATTGATGATTATCTTATTGGACCAAAATTTTAACCCCCTCGACTGAATGGTGATTCGTATACTTAGTGTTTACACGAAGAACTAAATGTTCTGTTAGAGGAAGTGCCTCTGCAAGTTAGAGGAGATTTATGGATTATGCACGATGGTGCACCAGCCCATTTTAGCCTTCTTGCTCGCCAATACCTCGACAACACTTTTCATAATCGCTGGATTGGACGCAGAGGTCCTCAATCTTGGCCACCTCGCAGTCCCGATCTTAATCCCTTGGACTTTTATTTATGGCGTCACCTTAAATAACTCGTGGATGAGACACCTATATTAAATAAAAATTATTTAAGAAATCGAATATTTCAAGGTTGTAATACCATAAGAAATACTCCAGGAGTTTTTAAAAGAGTAAGACAACCAATGAGGAGACGATTGGAATCGTGCGTTTTATCAAAAGGTGTCCATTTTCAATATTTGCTTTGATTCTTTGTTATAAGTGATTATTTATATGATTGTTATTTGTAGTTAAATAATAAAAAAAATAAAAATGGCTCTGTAATTATTCATGAAAAAAGTCACGGGACCTTTTTTCTTCCAAATCGAACAATCAAAAAACTAAGTATTGAAAAAGAACAGCGGCGCAACACGTTTTTCCTTCCATATTTTTCATCTATTACATTGTCCGCACGCCACTGGATAAACGAAAGCCACTGTATTTACACTAAAACGCGCAACGTTGCTAACTCTCAAAAGCTGAAAAAATTTAATTAAAATATCTCAAGTGATTTTGGAAATATTTAAAAAAAAATAATTTTTTTTTTATTAAACTTTCACAGCCCGTAACGAAGCATTTTTGAGACGTAGTATATATGACAAAAATACCTTTATTTTAGCTCCAGAATGCTTCTTATCGAACACCCTGTATAATGCGTGGCATTCTAAATTATACTCTTCACAGTTTAACCACCACTTTTAAACAAATTTTTAGTTTACGTTTTTGTACACAGAAAAGCTCAAACTATATTGGTTTAGTAATTAGCCGATAAGATAGATTATATCTTATCGAATTTAGTTTTTTGTGTGTTTAGGCAAATATCCTATCATTTTCCTTTTTGCACTGGCCTTTTGTTTTAATTGAATACGTTCAATCTTTACATGTTATTATATTTATAAGAAATTTGAAGACAATGAGATCATCTAAAATGTGTTATAAATATATAAATATTAAACAAATAATCTCTTTATTACCTTCACAGAATTCTCATTGGGAAAACGAATAAATGGTGGGCATTTTTATAAATTACTGAACACAGTTTCTTAGCCCTGCAACATTCTAAGATTTCCCCAAAAATAGAATAAATAAAAAGCTTTCGTTTTTTTCTATGAACCTACACATTTGAAATCGTTGCGCCACTGATTTAAAGACCCACTATCAAACTTACAATATGGCGTTCACTTTGACGATATTTTTGCGCATTATTCTGTGAAGTAGAGTATTATTATACTCTTCACACTGTCTGTGAAGAGTATAATTATTTATTTGGTTCCGTCCGTCCGATGTCACGTTTTTTGTCCGCACGATAAATCAAAAACAAAAAGCGATATTAATTTAAAAATTTCAGAAAAAATCAAGCTCTATAAGGGGACGAAGTTGATTTAAAAAAAAATAAAATAAAAATAACTTAAAAACAAAAATCCTAACTTAAAAACAAAAAACGATATCAACTTAAAATTTAGAGCAAAATAAAGCTCTATAAAAAGAAGAAGAAGCCCTTTGATTTTTAAATAAATCTGAATAGCAGTGTAAAGATTAAGGGGGTTGAAACTAAAAAAAAATCATAAATCAAAAACGAAAAGCGATATCAAAATGAAATTTGTAGCAAAAATCAAGCTCCACAAGGAAATAATTATACAAAAAAATTATAAAAATGGGGGATAAGAAAGGTTAAAATATTGAAAAAATCCCAACTCGGAAACAAAAACGATATCAAATTGAAATCTTCAGGAAAATCAAGCATGGGGATGAAGCCTATTGCTTCTAAAAATAATCTAAATTAAAATTAGAGGTTAAGGAGGGTTGAAATATTTAAATATTCAAAAACGAAAAATATTATCAACTCAAAATTTTTAATGGGGGGTTAAAATAGAAAAATAGAAATCAACCACCAAAAGCGATATATGTTTAGTAAAAATCAAGCTCTATAAGGGAATGAAGGGTATTGATTCTAAAATTTTTTTTAATAAAAATGGGGGATAAGGGGGTTGAAATATTGAAAAAAATCGTAAATTAAAGAACGAAAAGCGATATCAACATAAAATATTTATCAAAAATCAAGCTTTAAAAGGGGAAAAAGCTACTTAATTTTGAATAAACTCTGATTAAAAATGGGGTATATAAGAGGGGTTAAATTTAAAAAAATCATAAATTAAAAATGAAAAGCTATATCAACATGAAATTGTTAGTTAATTTCTAGTTTTATAAGGGAATAAAGCCTATGAAACCTATAACAAAATCTTAAAATTGAAATGGGGGGTTGACATATTAAAAAAAATCTAAATCAGAAATTAAAAACGACATCAAATTGTAATATTCAGGAAAAATCCAGCTTTATACGGGGATAAAGTCTAATAATTCTGAAAAAAATCCTAATAAAAATTAGTAATTAAGGGGGGTTGAAATATTTAAAAAAAATCCTAACCCAGAAATAAAAAACGATCTCAAATTGAAATCTTCAGAAAAATTAAGCTTTAAAAAGTATGAAGACTATTGATTTAAAAAAAATTGTTAACAAAATGGGGGTGCCGGGATGGAGGGTTAAAAAAAAATAAAAATTAAACAACAAAAGCGATATTAACATGAACTTTTTAGTAAAAATCAAGCTCTATAAGAAAATGGAGCCTTTTCTGAAAAAAATTTAAATGAAAATGGGTATTAAGGGCGCCTGTTAAACCATGAAGAGTATAATATAGAATGCCATGCATTTTAACTCTTCATTCGGGTTTATTATGGAATCAGATGCTATCCACTGAGCCACATTTGTAGGTTTACAAGATTGTACTTGTCCAAGTGTATGGTAAAGATATCTAGATTTTCTTGCATTCTGTCTGGTGTATGGACTTGGACAATCGCGAAACAATAATTCTGAAGTGGTTCATATTCATGGAAGGAAGATCTCCTGTTCACATTTAACAAACTCCCCCTGTATAGATATTTTGTAATTTTCTACGAATACTGTTTTAGTTACAAACACCTATTTTTAACCTTAAATAAGAAATCAATATTCCTCTAAGCAGACACGCGTTCTTTGAAACAAAATATTATTTAAAACGTAATCACACCGAATGTAGCCAATTAAATTTCCACTATAATGACGATTTATGTCGATTTATGTCGAAAACTCCCACTCCTACTTATTTTTCAGTTTTGTAGCCGTCTATGTAAATTACAGTTGAAGGATCTAAATTACCAAACCTTTGCACTTCATCTAAAAGATAATTGGCTTTAACTATCATTTAAGGTCAATTGCCAGAATTTTTTTTTATTCCAAGAATATCATTGCCCTTTAGTCATTCATAAATCTCGTCTTAAATAGTTCTAGACATACCCAACTCGCATTATGCTGATTGTTCTGAAGTCCTCTTTCACCCTCGAACGTTTTAACCGTTTGGCTGGATAAGGGAGACGAAAGCAATAGCGGTCAGTTGAGGGTTTATATACTGTTATGTAGTCCCATTTTCCTGAAATACTTTCTAGTATTTTATAATGAAGAGCAGAGAAAGGAGCACATTCGGCTATTTGGAGTATATGTTGTTTTCTACATACTGGCGATGAGTGGAGTCCAATAAGACAAAGTGCTGAAAGCGTAATAAACTTTTATGTGATGGGCAGTGGTGGAGAGTAGAAAGTTTTTGTAAAATTTAGAATTTTTAACAAAGAGTTAGTTAATACTTTTAATAATGAGAAGTTAAACTTTCAGCTTGCTGACTATGGTATCAACTACTCTTGAATTTTAAACTTGCGTATTGTGTAGGCTTTGTTAATAGGTCGCTTTCCAGATCTTCTTTAGGAATAACACCGTTAGTTAGAATTGGAACTTGAGACCCAAGTGTCTAAATGTCTAGCCAAAGTGCCACTCGTCTCGTAAAGTACATCTTTGTTTACTTAAAAATGTTTGATTTATGAAATTGGAACAAACTTTATTACATAAATAATCGAAACTTGTAGAGCTTGATTTTGCCAAAAATTTAAGGTTCACATTATTATTATTATTATTCGCTTTTGATTTAGGATTTTTTGAAACATTTCAAACCTCCTTAAACCCTCCATTTTCAATCAGATTTCTTAAAATCAATTGGCTTTTTTTCCTTATAGAGCTTGATTTTTCTAAAAATTTCATGTTAATATAATTTTTCGTTTTTGAGTTAGGCTTATTTTTTTATAATTTAATCCCCCTTTAACCCCTAATATATTCAGGATTTTTTTAAATTATCTTCTTATAGAGCTTGATTTTTACTAAAAATTTCATGTTGATATAGCTTTTCCTTTTGTATGTGTACACGTGTGGATTATCACAGGTCCGGTATTCAAATTATTTGTTATGTTTAAATGTATTTTAAACACCCCTCCTAACCTTCCATTTGTAATCATATTTTTTTTTAAATCTTATAAGACTTATCGTGCAAAAAAAACGTGACTTCGGACGGATGGACGGACAGAAAATTAAACCTATAATACTCTTCACAGACTAGTGTGTGAAGAATTTAAAATATTTTCAAAAGATGTCATTGTAAATTTGTCCTATATAATTTTATTATGTATGTCTTTTTTTAATTTTAGCTTGTATTTTCCACACATACACTAACCAGACAGTTTGAAAAACGTTTGAGAACTAATATCACTTGAAAAATTTAATTATATTTTGTAATAATTAATAGTGTTAACAAAATTTTGAATTTAATTTCATACGAATATTTTTAATTTTATAAATTCATTTTTGCTAACAAAAGAAATAGTAAACTAACCTACAATGATCTTATATCCAACGACATATTAACTCAACAAATGAGAAATCCTCATTTTTCTACACCCACATGGATATTAGTTTATCTACGTACGGACTACAAAACTAAAAAGTATGCTATTACATTATACTGAACGAATATAATTCATATCGATTCTAGGTAGTGATTTCTAAGAAAAAAAAAACTACTATTATTTTTAAAATTTTAAATAAGGTGACAATCTTATCAAACTAAAACCTGCAGTTTTATCAAAGACGGTGAAGTTGTTGCCACTGGAGTTAGAAAAAGCTTATTATACTGGATGTACATTAGAGTAATCTGTCCCTAAAAGAAAGCTGAAGTAGAAATTGTCACTATAAATACTCTTCAATTTTGGCACGAACGACTTGTGCACTAAAACAAAAGGCACGTACAGAATTTTTTAAAAGTCGTGGTATTAAAGTGTATCCTGATAAAGAGTGGTGTGATTCCTGTATGTATGGCAAATTACATCGTCTGAGTTTTTATTCATTCCGATATCTCTGGACCGATGCCTGTTAAGTCTGTAGATGGTGCTAGATATTATTTAGTATTCAAAGACGACATTACTAGATATCGCACTGAATGCTTCTAAAAAGAAAAGTCAGAAGTAAAAATAAACTAGAAATTTTTTTTTGCAGAAATAAGTGTTGCCGGATATGTGGCAAAGCAGTGAGATGTAAGAAATCAAGAAGTTATATCTCGAGAACAGTCGCAAAAGCAGTTCGATGTCAGCGGATGTCAAGTTACCTTTAGAAGCAAATAAAGAATTTCTTAAGAAGTTGGGAAAGGAATTTAAACTAACAATCAGAAGTAGGACAATATTGAAGTAGAGATTCAACAAAATTGTGAAAAAGGTGAAAAATCAATATTTATCAGTCAGGAGAAGTATCCCAGGAAAATATTACAAAAGTAAGATGTTGATGACTGTCATTCTGTAGGTGTTCCTATCACAAAATCACAAATTCTGGAAGAAGGCTTTACGATGAGGATCTGTCTCCTGAAGTTCCTTTTCGGTTGTTGAAAGTCTGAACTTTTTGGCAATTGCTACTGGACCAGATTTAGCATTTGCAATAAAGCTTGTGTCCCAATCTTTGGCAAATCCGAAGAAATATCACTGGGATATGGTCGAGCAATCCTTCAGGTATCTTAAAGGTACGTTAAATTTCGAAATAGAGTATAACTCTGGATCCTTGAAATCACTCCAAGCCTACAGTGATTCTAACTACGCAGGTGATATTTATTCTCGTATATCTACGTCAGGATTTGTCTCAATATTAAATTCAGGAGCAGTGACAATGGAGGCCGAATATATTGCAGACTGCGAATGAGCGAAGGAAATATTATGGTTGGAGAGATTACTAAAAGAAATTCAGAAAAATTGAATACTGTTAAACAGGTGAATAATCTTGAATATCACAAGCCTATTAAAAATATGGCGCCAAGATGTGGGCAACACGTAATAAGGGATCAAAATGGCGGAGTTTTCTATCTCCTTTTAAAAGGCACTCAGCCTTGGTCAAATTTCAAATTTCCGTCCTTCTTTTTATAAAGTTTGCGAAAATGACTGTAGTTGGCATGTCGAATGACAGCGGTGTCAATTTTCTATGTAAGTCAATTGGTGAAAACACATACTTTGATTTTCTTTAACTATACGGAGAATGGTCGCATTGCGCAGCTTTCTGAGTGCCTTTTGAAAGGAGATAGAAAACTCCGCCATTTTGATCCCTTATTACGTGTTGCCTACATCTTGGCGCAATATTTTTAATAGGTGCGTTTTAATCATCCGCTTCTGCTTCGGAATTGTCGATTTTCTTGTTTTAATCTGACAGATTGTCGGTTAAGTCATCTTAACCGACAATTCCGGAAGCAGAAGCGGATGATTAAAACATACCTGATATTTTGCTTACTGCTGTCAGTGTCAGTGAATATTATTTTTGGAGTCACAGTTTATTGCTAAAGAATCAGTTACCTCACTCGGACCAGTTGAAAGTTCCAAAATAACATCTACTACAGGGATACAAATTCAGGATACGCAGAAGACTGCTGTTTTATTATAGGCGGTTGTCATATATTGTATTATCCGAGTTGCGCAGTGTATAAACTGGAACATTGAGATTAAAATTGCCGACGCAGAGTGAGCGATCTGATTCTTTAGCTATAAACTGTGGCATAGGAATCAAAATGGCCACGCCCTATGTTGGGCGTGTCGGATCTCTCTATTGCACCGTATAGTAATCAAAGTATGTGGGGGAAAAGGATCAAAATAATGTGAAAAAAAGTACCTGAGTACAAGTAACATGAGTGACAATAAAACATCAAAGTAAGATTTACGTCGTTCCAGAATATAAAACAGGATAAAAATCAAATGTAAAACTAAAGAAAACACAAGAAGAAATCAATTTAATGTCTTTTTAAAACTTCTAATGTAAGTAAAAGAATGTAATCATTTTTAAATATAATATTTATTGTAAACTAGTCACAATATGTACCTTACGAAGTGTAGTTTATTTTATTACAAATTTTTATAATTTAAAATTATACAATCATAGATGCTGACTTAACTTACTAGAAAAGAAAATTCATTTTTTATAGAGTTTTAATGTTAGATAAAAAGTTTCTACTGTCATTTTTTTTTACCCCAATTGTGTCATTGTAAATGATTTTTATAGGATACTAAACGTTTAGAACAGTGGCAGAATATATATCGTTCCTAGTGCCGGTAAAGCACTTTCTAGAGATGATACAGTTCTATACTTTTTAGAAGACTATAAAATATTATGAGACTATTTTTACTGATGGTATTGTTAGCGAAATAGAAAGGGGAAGGCTGAATTTAAAGGATGAGGTAATACCATGTACATTCCCAAATCTCCCGTTATACTTGTATTACAACAATAAAAAACCTGTTAACTGTATTTTATTTTACTCTTAAAATTATATATTGGTTCAATTAAAAAATTTTTTCCACAAAATTCAGCAGTTAAGAAACCTTTTCGAATTTGGTCATACATACCTAATTTGTATTTTATGAAGATAAAATTAAATAATGTATCAATTAAAACATACAAGACTTTTTTAGAAATAAATACAACAGTGTGTTATGTGCTTTATTTAGCTATAAACAAGTTTATTTTTATTATTTTGACAAAATTATGTATAATTCCCATAAGAAGCCATGTATTTTGAACACCGTATGGAGTACCAGCGCCCATGCGGTTAATTATAGAAGCTTAATTAGCATGCGTTTTTTGGGACCGTATTTTGAGTATGCTGATTCGCCTCCTTATCTCTAATCTTCATACTTGACACAATTGTCAGGTTTGATCACATACTAATCAAAGTATGTGGGTTTGATCTCCGAGCAATTACTAATAGAGGGAGCGTGAAAACAGGTTTGTAGGCAATTGTTGTGTTAGCAACATCTGTAGAGGAAGTGAGGAAG